TTTCCCTACTGCAAGCACTCTACAGAAAGCAATAGTGCTGTTTGCTTTGGGAGGGGATTTGAGATTTGGAAGAAAGAGGATGGTTGTAGTTTTGCAGTCATTTTAACAATCTATGCAATTTAGCAAATTTAAGCCTTTGTTGTTTGATTTTTTTTGAAGTGCAAAGAAGAGATGAAGTCTTCATAACTGCTGTTTTTGGCATATTTAGACACCTAATAATTTCACTTTTGTCTTCAAGAGGCATTGCTGTGCAACAGCTGGTCTGCATGTATATGACTCCCACAGAGCAACTGGGTAGGCTCCCTGCACACCAGGAGTAAAGAAGCACAAAATTACTTTCCCCGCAGGGATTTTGCAATTCAAAGCAACACTTACTACCAGAACAGAGATGGGATTTAGGCTTTTTGCTACTTCAAGCAGCTCCCTACTGCTCCTCCCTGCTGGCACCCATGCAGGTTAAGAGGAGGTGGTCATCTCATCACAGTGAAGAGAAAACAACTTGCAGCAGCCATTATTATTATGCTCTGTAGCATTAGTACCGATCAGCAAACAGTATTTTGCTCTATTATGCTTGACATTCTGCCACATTCTCCTCTCAGTGAATGTAACATCTTAATCCAGTCTGTAGACTTCATAGAGGTCATCTTAAAAGCATGTAAGGTATTTGCTCTTCCTTGCAAAGTTGATATACAGTCTTACATCTTTGACATCTAAAAATCCCAAGGTTAAGTTTTTCTGGCCCATTTATAATTTTTTTTTCCTGCGTTTTTCTTTTTGGTATAAAATTGCAGTTCCTGTCTGTTCAATGAGGATTTAAAGTGGAAATACTCTCTCAAGCTTTTGTCTTGCCAGGCTAGTGTTAGGCTAGTTTTAGTTTTCTCTGCTAACACAAAGTTCCCATTGCTCTGTGTGTTCTGAGTAGCCTACTCAGCTGATATTTTGCTTTGGAAGTGAAAATACGCAAATCCTACCAGAAATATCAGATCACAAAACTATCTCGTGTAGACCTAAATAACTCACCAGGAACTTCAAACTTATTTTTCCTGTTCCTAGAAGTCAATGAACACATTACTTTCATTCTGGACTGCGTATAGCGATCCAAACAATAAGGAAGGAAAGTCAATTGAACAAAATAGCCCTTATTTAGAAGCGGCTTAGGCAGCAACTCAAATCAACAGATTGCAAGAACATTGTTACAACAGCAGAATGAAAACTGAAAAGGTTCGTTAATAGACCTGGTGCCATTTCAAGTTCTAAAAAACATATCTGAGCATGCTAAAAATAAATAAATCTCAAACTCTTTTACACAAAGGAGTAATTGTCCTTTTTTTTCCTCCCCTTGAGGTAGTTATGAAGTGACACATTGAAGGCCACTGCAAAGCTGAGAATGAAATCTAAACCTATCAGTCTCTTACTCAACATAATTTTTTGTAGAACTGCAAGTTTTATTAATAATCCTAGATACCATTTCATGGGAATGCTGAGGTTTTGCACTACCTCTCTTTTCACATTCTCAATCAGCAAGAACTGTCCCGCTTCAGGAAAATCACAGATGTGTGAAGCTGATCAAGGAGATAAACATTTGTACACTTAACTGTGTTTTCCTACTCTTGTTCATAACTACCTTAATGTTTACCAACAGAACCCCAAAACCTGAGCATATCTCAAACACAGCATTTATCTGTAAAGCTAACAGTAAGTGCTCATTAGAGGAGAGAAAAATGTTTTTCCTCTGCATGTATTAGTAGAAAGCGTCTCAATAAAGCCACGTATTAGTTGAAATGCATAACCTCGCTGTGGCTTTGAAAGAACAAAAGAAGTTATTCTTGGAAAAATATAATTTAATTTTAAAATGCAAAGAAAACATTTAGATTCCAATAATTCACAACCAGTAAAACTGTAAACATATTAACAAGACAAAGACAGGGTGAATGTTGTTTTACCAGGTAGCAATAACAGGTTTCTCTCATGAAATTTGAACATCTCCCCGGAGGTAGTGAGGGGAATGAGAGATGCATTTATGTCCCAAAAATGGCAAAAAAATACAGTAAAATTTTGTTTCAATCACAAGTTGTCACTGATCATCTAAAAACTCTGTGATTTCAGCAGGCTGCAAGCTAAACCTCTTTACTACAAGTCATAGTTTTCACAGTAACACATTCACAGAAAACAAACAAACTGACATTCACCGTTAAGCTATCTGTTACCTCCTTTTTGGCTTCTTTTTTGGGATCATAATCGCTATCATTTCCATCCATTGGATGAGCTTCTTCTACGTCATCATCACTGAGGACAAATTATAGGAAGCTGGTAATTTTATTTATTTTTTAACCCCAAATATATCAGGATAGGATGCAATTATCTACTCTAAATTACCTACTCTTAGTATATGGCATCACAAAGTTATTTGCAGTTTTCAAAAGAGAGCTGTTACACACATATTTCCTTCATTAAATTCTAATAACTAATATGATAAAAACAGCAACCCTAAACTGTAGTTTCAAAATTACTTTAAGCAGTGCTGGTATTGCTGCCAAAAATCTTGGTGTCACCTTTCTTCAATTCAACTCTCTGTGCCAGGATAACACCTAGATGGTCAACGACACCAAGGCCAACTGCACCAAGGCCAGAACTACTCTTTCATTTGCCATGTTCGCTTTAATAGATCAATTTTCAAACCACTGCACCCAATAGATGAATTAACCCTTGTTGAAGTCAATCTGCTTGAAGGGAGCAAAAGGGGACAACGTAAGATGGGAAAATATGGGACTGCTTTTTCACTAACATGCTCAAGATCTAGAAACTGTGGGGGAAGATGTGAAAACTGCTGAATTAAATAAAAGAAAAAACTGAAAAGATAACAGCTTAATCAAGTCCAATCCATTCACTGACACAATATAATTTCCAAATAAATCAATGTAAACCCACAAAATATCTAGTTAATAAAAAAACACGTTGTATTAAAAGCAAATAGATTTTCTTCTGCAATTTTTCAGCTATAGGGTCACTAAGTAAGCATATAAATTTTAGATTGCAAGAATTATTTTCAATAACATAATTAAATAGATTATTTTGTATTAGCTAGGCAGTTCTACGTAGATGTAAATTCATACTTTCCAATATAAACACAACTATGTTACTTATACATTAAACATACAAAATAATTTTTTAAAAACTGCAAGTGAATGCTCAATTGTACTAAGTGCAATGTAATTTTAATTTCATAGTAACTAGGGGAAATGTCATTCCCTTCTATCCAAGACAATTTAAACCTATTTTGAGCTGTGATTCCCTTTGACTGATAGCAGTTCCAAGGCTCCTAAAGTAAGATTTTGTATCAATTTTTGTTATAAAACAGTGCTTTGGCATTCTAATTGCTACAGCTCATTGCAGTGGTTGATCTTTCAGTTTTAATTCCATTCTAGTTTAAAAAAAAAGGGCAGAAAACAACCCCAGAAAAATAGAAAACTCCCATACACACAAAACCACTCTCCTATCCACACAGTAATACAGGGTTAGACTTCTCAAAGCATTATTTCTAAACCACATCCCCAGACTTAAAGTTTCATTGAGTTCTTGCTCTTACACTTACCCATTAAAGCAGTTGAGTGTGTTATTACAACTCACACCAACTGGAGTGATACAGTTCTTAAAGCACAGGTGCCAAACCACTTGCTAAAAGCAGAGGCATCACACATGCTCACACCTATATAAATATGGTTCACACTGAAAGAATGGCTGAAAATTATTCCAACATCTCTACCTAGAGAGACTTCAGTCTCTGGCTAGCTACTGGAGAACAGAAAACTTACCTGTCACCTTGATTATTTCTATTAGCTAGTTTTCGAGCCTGTCGATCCATCAAACTTGTCCTAGAGCGAGTTTTTTTCCAAGAATAGTAATATTTTACAAGGCTTGCAATAGTCTTGTCTGGAAGCTAGAAGAATTCATCAACATATTAATACTTTTAAAAATTAAAATTCCACCTAATATTATTGCTATCTATGTACAACCACCTTTACCTAAATATTTTAAATGCATGGATGAGAAGGAAAGGAGGGGTGTATTTTGCAGGCATTTTTAAAAAAGGCAGATGGGGGGAGAGGCTTTTTTAATTAGAGTGAAAAAGGTATAGGCCTAAGAGACCTGATGAAATTAACTTAAATCTTATATTCAAGGCTCTTCCTGAAGCTTTTACATGGACATCAACACGAAATTTTAGCCCAATGGAAGTTTTTGTTCTTCCTGCATCTGAACTGTTCTATGTCTCTGATCAAAAATTACTTTACCATTTGCTGGATCCTGTGAAAGCTCTTTCCATGGAAGCTAAATGCTTGTTCAAACAGGACTTTATCTTCAACTGTCCATTCATCAGGGAAAGGAGTGAAGTTAGGGAGATCTGCAAGGGACTTCTCAATATTGTGTTTATGCCAGAACAACATGCCGAGAGCCTTTGAAAAGAAATAATCCCTTTTTGGATTTAGTCAGCTTTCTAAAACACTGAGACACATTAAATAAAAAAGGCAATTTATTTATTTAAAATAAAATTTGACTATCAACATTCCTTCTAAAACACTTCCACAATTTTACTGGCTAAGTACTATAGGTTACAAAATTCTCTTTGGAGACGATATGAAGAGTGGGCACATCTGTACTTTAATAAAGGTACAAAAACCAGTCAATTTAAGGCAGGCATGGCAGCAATAATTCTGAAGTAGCATGAACTAGGCTCAGATAGGCTCAGATCTGACCTGCTTTCTTCCTTTACAAGCATGTATCACCTACACAGTTCCTTATAGGTCTTCAGGCCTTTATTACTAGCCCACTCAAAAAAACAATGTAAAAATACTTTTCAGCAGTCAGAGGATCATCCAAAATGCAAGTCTGAAAGTTCAAAGTGAGAGTTGTCTTTCTACAACTCTCCAATCCACAAAAAACAGCACAGCCACTTCCATGTCATGTGCACCTAATAAGGAATGGAAATTTAAATATACTTTCTTACATAATTTCATTCCTCTATATTCTTGAATTATTTTATGATGATTAGACTTTCTGCCAGAGAATGAATGACAGCTTTGATGCCAATTCTGGCACAGGAATTGAGAAATGTAAATCCACTTAGTTTCAACCATACAGTGCAGACACGATCACCAGTTGTTCATCAGCTCTCCAAACCCCTGATCTCACACCTTCTAATAACCTGGACAGAGCAAACCTCTTTTTTCGTAAAAATTGCAAGAAACAAGCACCTCCTGGAAAAATAACTTCTATTCCACTTTGAACAGTCTGCAAATACTTTGTACCAGAAGTTGTTTGGAGAATCAGTCTTCCTTGCAGATTTATTTTGAGATCCCCAAGCTCCTTCTCTTCCCCAACAAAAGTGAACTATAAACAACATCACCAAAGCGTATTGTCCAGGTATTCTGGACATCGTAACATTGGCAGCTGCTTTTTCAGATAGCACTTAACTAGCAAGTCTTTGCTATTATCAGCTTCCATTCACTAAAATCATACAACTTGCTTCCACTTGTACACCAATGTTTTTGTTTTAAAATAGGTGATCTCACTTTTACATAAATTGGTCAATTTATGAAGAAAATTGCAACAGAACTAAGTGCACAGCAGCAAGGCTTTACCCTGTACTTTTTATGAGATGGTGACTAAAGGTTATTAAAATAAAAAAGTGATCTTGTTTGTTACTCTCAAATCTAGAATTCAATTCTGTTTTCCTGCCTCTCAAAAGACACCCAAAGTTTTTTGCCTCTTAAAAAAAAAAAAGTAACAAATGTTTCTAGTGCTGATCTATCAGAATTAATGGTTCAAAATTGTCCCATTTTGAATTCTAATATTAAACACTAAATTTGTAAGCTGCTTCCTAAGAAGTTGTTTAGCTAAATATACACACACAACTGCATGACATGCCCAGGGTATCAAGAAACATACCAAATCTTTCAAAAGTGCACATTACAAGCTGAGCATGTCATGAAAACAAAGAGCTCAATCTTTTGCAGAGAATCCAGAGCACAACTGTATGCAGATCCACTTTACTGCAGTGTTTGCTGCCGTGCCTGAAGAGAAACAGCGTTAATTAATGGCAACCAAGGGGGAAAACATCCCAAAGAGTTGTGTTATACTTTTATATATACATAAAAAAATCCTTTAAATGAGCACTCCCATTTCATAGCACTTACCTGTTCCACATTGTATCCATGTTTCTCCTTTGCTATTGCTATATATTCATCCACTGTAAAAAAGCAATGTCAGAATTATTCTTTAGTACTTTTAGTTTGGCTACAAGGTGACACAGAATTAGCCAGCTAATATGGGGAAACAGTCTTCCCATGCTTTAATACACTACATAGGCCCAGGTCCCCCAAAGCGTTTAATATATACATGACTATTAATCATAAATAACCCCACCATCTTAATCGTAAATAAACCCACTATCTTTAATCTAGCATTTAATTTTATTAACTTTTTGCACAAGCTAATTCACAGTGAAAGAGATTATTTCTTTCACATTTTTATTACAACAAAGCCACAGCAGCTCATCATTTATTTAAATCAGAGACTAGCTGCTTATTGAAATGTTGTGTCTTCTTGGAACCCACTCCTAAGAACGCTGTAAGGGTGTCCAGACACCTGGGTTATGCTCACGTTAAAAATGAATGTAAAGAGATTCTAGATCAACGATTATGCATATCCTCGATATTAAAATATTTTTCACTGAACACCACTAACTTTAAGCATGGCATGAAGTCACTTTTCAATATAGAACATGAAAATTCAGTAATTAGGTCATCAAATCTGCCACTAACATTCTTTTAAGATTGCATTTGGCCATACTAGAGTCACTTTTGAATTTTGAACGCTTCCCATCATTTTGCAATCAAGTCCTGATAGTTTTGATCTTCAGTGAGTAGTTGTTTCATTTTTAAAGAAACAAACTCCTTCCATTTACCTTCTACAGTCTACAATTAAGTGGCAACTAAATGTAGCTGAAAGGAAGCATGACTGAGAAAAGGAAATAATGATATCCTCATTATTCAAATGGACTAGAGATGTCCTTGCCATGAACTGTTGCAGCAAAGAATTAATTGTACTTTAAGGGAATGAAGAAAGTGTTTAACAATCACAGTTGTAGACTATTTTATTTCTAACTGTTCTGCGATAGCAGAAGGTATGTTTCATCACATGTAGAGGGCCAGAAAACCATAATTACTGGTAATAGTAGAAACTGTCCTGAAGAACAGGTTCTCATGATTGCATCCTCAAAGTTTACTCCTCTGCATTGCATATGAGAAATTCTAGCATAGGAAGCAGGTTTAAACTAGATTAAACAGATAACTGACCACATTTGGTCAAAGAACTCCTTTGTTTCAGGCCACTTTTAAAGGGAGAAAATGCTCAGTTTTTCCTGGTAATGCAGCAATAATAATTTCCCCTTGAACTAGGCCTCACCACATCTTCTCCAAATCCAAACACATCCACTATAGCTTTTTCTCCTAGAAATTCAGAGCAGCAAGTTCCTCGTGTTTAAATGTCTTTTTTTTTATTTTTTACAGACACCGATTTGATACAATACAGGCAGTGTGATTTGAAACAAAGACTTAACTATAAAATAAGAGAAGGTGATCTTTCCTTTCCCCAGAGTTCTCTAAATAAAGAGAACCTTTGTATTTAATTTACTAATTTACAATTTCACAGTGTGTAAAACAATTAGTGAACAGGCACATAAGAAACAATTGCTTAGACTTATGCATTCAAATTTCTAAGCAGGGAAGACTTACACTTAGCATCTGGAATATTATGATATGGAGACCATACAAGCATCCCTCCATTATCTTTATCGGTATATTTTGTGGCACCTGTAAGAAAACAAGCAAGTCTCAGTATTTATAAATATGTTCTAGATAACAACAATTCAAAGTGTGGTAAGTAAAAGTCAACCATATTAAGAAGTCCAGCCAAACTATTAAGCAGAGGGGGGGAAAAAAGTCACTAATTTCACGTTGTTTTCTTAAGGCACTGAATGTCTGAATTTGAACACTACTGTCACGAGGTTCAATCATAACTGGATATTAGACGAGATCCTGGCTACCACAGCTGGAATGTTAAAGTGCTTTGCTGAAGTTGGCATAGACACAAAATTTAGAAGTACTTGTGTTGGAACAGTTGTCAAGAAGTTATGATTGTCTCTTAGTACTCTAACCATTTATCACTGTCATAGGAGTATCAGGATCTACTGTGTTAAATTAGGCTTCCTTAAAACAAAAGCAAAAAAATATATAGGGGGTAGAATACATTCGCTCACCATCCCCGATCCTTTTAAACAGGAACTATACCAACAACTATGCCAAAACCAATTCTGTTCATCTCTCTCTACTTTTGATTTTCAAAGCTATGTAACTTTGATACTTATAGCCAAATTGTGTAGCTGTAGAAAAGCAGTTAGGTGTAACAGTCACCTTTTTTGGTTTGATTGTGCATTAGGGTCTTTTTTGGGGGGGAGAGTGGGGCGTTGGGACTTTATGTATCAAGGAAAGCAGTCCAGGTTACCTGACCAAGTTACTTAATCAGAGACGGAGCAATTTTTGCAATACTGATGCAACTTTGTACACAGTCTTTTGATTTTTAAAAATATGCTGTAGAAGGAAATTCCTAAATACTGAAAAAGAATTAGCTAATAGTTACTTTTCATTTCATTAATATTTTACAAATGTATGCTACTACATAAAGCCTCTTACAATCTATTTGTTTTCAACAATTTATCTTGCATAAGACACTGCTCGACAATGGGAGCATTTATGCTTCTGTCAGTATGAATTTCTTGAGGAATAACCCTCAAAGGAACGTTCCTTGCATCCTTCTTGGAGCAGGACAGATTTTCTTTACTCAGTGAAGCAAAAAACTTCTCACTCCATTTTAAGCTTCCACATGTTATATGTAGGTTCTACATCTTGTTGAAAGAAACAAAACAAATCAATGCTTAGGAAAAGAGAACTTCAGTGCTTTCTAATTATATACTATGTTCTGTTGCTCTTCCCTTGAGTTTGGCAGTGTTTTTGTACTTGCTATCATCTTTGCCATCTTTAGATCCATTACAACTGTGAACATGAAAGCCAGTTAATTAGAAAAAACAAAAGTACTCATGTGTCTTCCAAAATGAGATGTGTAAGACACAGCCTAAATGTACCATTAACTCTTTAACAAGTTAAAAATATACATACACTCACAAAGCACCAGTTTCATGGCATAAGCAGCACTGAACTCCGAAAGTTTGGTATATAAGAGCAAAAATTGCTCGATACAACATTCTACTTGAGAACAAAAAAGCACACCATTTTTAGTCAGTAGGAATGCACTGTTTCATGAAGAGCAATGCAAACATGTTACAGGCACAATGTTTGCCTTGCCCACTTAGTATTTATCACAAGTAAGCGACCACTAACTACCCTGTACTCCACTCTTAACTAAGACAGGATAGCTAGAGAATGCATCAGAATTTCAGGTTGTAAGCAAGAAATATCTAAACTTGAGCATATCCTCAGTTTTTTCCTTCAAAAAAAAAACCCCAAAAAACCAAAAACCCAGGCAGACACCTGCAAACAAGAGGCTATAATGGATGTTACAAAGTATTAAATATTCAACTCCTGAAGTAAAAAAACCCTTAGTTTCAGAGTCCTATCATTTGCACCTGCAGAGACCATGTACACAGTGACACTCCCTGACAGAGACGCCACCCTCACATGATTAATGACCAGTTGCCCCCATTACACCCCTTTTGATACAGGGCTGTTTCTCCAGCAGGAA